AGAGAGAGAGGGGTGGAGAGGAAAAGAGAAGACGCTGTATTGGAAACTGGTGGCACCTGCAATGCGTGCATGCATGCAAGTCATGCAAGTGCATTTACACCTGGTGGTACTGCTGCTACCACCATTACTACTGCTGTAGGTCCACAGAGGGTGTGGGGGGGAGTGATGGCAGTGGAGGACTTTGATTGGGGGAATGATGTGAACTTGAAGTGTCAATGGGGGCAATCTAACTTAGACAAAGGCTGCTTGATTGGGTGCATGCCGCTGCAGCTCATCACGTACTTCACTCGATAACATATCTAATGGCTACATCGGTTCAGCACCTAAAATACGACATTATACTGTAGCTTATCATGTACTTGTCATTTACATTTCAAACAATAACATATGTCATGTGTTCATGGTTTTCGCCTCCAACACAGTTAGGGCATGTCTCAGTATCAAATGTGATCTTCATCAGTTTTTATTATAAATATATATATATATATATCAAAATTTATCTTTATTATTTTCTATTGTCGAAGAAAAAGATATTATTTTTTAAAAATCATGTATGTTTGTAGATGGATGACTATTACAACCAAAAAAGAAAATTCATGCTTATTTTAAGTGGCTCATCACCTTTCTTGAATTTTTAATTGTTGAATCTTTTAAGTTTTGAAACCATTTTATTGGAGAAAATTTTCCTGGATTAATAATTTAAAAAAGATTAATGTGGTTAATATTTTTATCTGTCTTCAGAAAAAAATCAAATTGTATGTCATGTAAGATCGATTGCAAATAGTTAACCCTAACTCAAATGCAATTTAAATTATTTATTAAAATACTTAAATTAAATTAACAGTAATATACTTATAATATTTTTATAAATTAATTATAATATTATTTATTTTCACTGTAAAACTAATCGAAATGTTATATTTCTTTTTATGAGCAGTGGTTTTGCATTGCCCATAACATGCCATCTTATACGTAGCCCATGAAATACGCATGCATGTGCCATACGTACCTTCACGCCCAACCAGTTCCAGCAACGACGTCAGGGAGGCTTATCATTCTCGTCGTCTATCCCGGTGGAGTTGCTAGCTCGTCTTCTGAAGCTGATGGCGAATGCAACTTCCGGTGCAGCAGCCAAGCTCGAGTCCTCATCAAATGTCTCTCTCATCATCCTTTCTCCCCCAAAAGTCCTCCACTTTGACTCATCACCATCATGCCCACATGATCTCTCTCTCTCTCTCTCTCTCTCTCTCTCCATCTATCTATCTATCTACATATATATATGTTATACATATATGTGGGGTGGGTTCGAAGTCTTCGTCTCAGTCTACATCACTCTGCTCAAAGCAGCAAGTTGCAGTGGAGGCACCAGCGTCCCTTTGACCATTAACCTTCTCTTCCTCTTCCTCGGAACCACCATCAACCTTCCCTTCCCCTTGCTCCCTCTCTTTCGCTCCAACCGACAGTCGTATCCATTGGTAGATCGCAGGCACACATGCAGTGACGTCGATGCGTACTCGATCGTCCTCTACATCTAACGCGGGTGGAAGCAATGAAGTACTGCTGCTACTCTTCAGACCATGTATCGGAATGCATCAGCACATGTTAATGGCAGTGCAGTCCCTGCGCTCTCCGTCCATCAGATGGGAATTAATGTCTTTGTGGTAGCGTACACTGACACACTTGAATTATTGCCACTGCGTGCATCAGCTGATTCAGGTGTGGCCCCTACGTTTCGTTGCATCTGAATAAGTATATGATAAATTATTCCTTTAAACAATAATAATAATAAATTTTTAAACAAATATATGTGAAAATATTAACTAACTTAGTTGTTAACATTTTTAATAAATCTTAGGCTCGAATCTCGTCTCCGTTAATTATCCTTTATAAATATTTTTTAAAAAAATTATCAATTTTGAGAAATTTTTGCATAGTCTCCTCATTTTTAAAAAAAATTATAACATTGGTTTATGTCTTTGCCTTTAGTCATGTTTACCTTACATTATAACAATAGTCTCCTAATTTTTTATGATAAATTATATTTAAAAAAAAAATTCCTAGAAGATGATTTATGTCTCCGCGACCCCCTACTAACAATGGTCTCCACCCTTGGTCACCTCCGTACATGAGCCCCCACCCTTCGTTTGTCATTCTCATCCACCCTTAGCTATCTTTGCCTTTAGTCATGTTTACCTTACATTATCACTATCAATTCCCCTCTCCTCTTCATCGACTATCTAATCACCTCACCCACGACCCCCTTTGCTAAGATTAACAATGGGGACGATAGAGTCGTGCACCCTCACCATTGTCTACAACCCCCGATATCAAGGTGATAATAAGGACAATGAGGGCATCACAATTTAGATTTCTATATTACCCTTTTATTTTTAAAAAAATCTTAATTTAGATTTGTTTTTAAAGCGGGTCAATAAAAAGCCTCTTAACTGTATGAAAAGACTATTTTATCTTATAATATTAAAAAAGTATTATTCTACCCCTAGCTACCCATTCTGTTGGTCCTCGCTTACATGGGCAATGCACGTCGTGGGCTATGGCCGATAGTGGGTCTTTGCATGAGAGTTGCAGGGGAGCGACGGGACGATGAGAGCAAGTGGAGGGAGGCAACTAGCCCTTGCATTAAGATTGCAATTGGAGGGGGCGACCCCACATAGCAGACCCTTGTGCAAGGGTTATGAGTAATGGTGAAACGAGCCCATGGACAAGTAAGGGAGGTAACTCCTGTGCAATGAGCTCTTGCACGAGGGCTGCAAGTGATGATGGGACGAAGGGGAGGGTTGACACGTGGAATCTCGCGCGAGGGTTGCAGGCGAAAGGGAGCAGCGAGCACTCATGTGAAGGTTTTGGGTTACGACAAGATGGCAAGGGCCAACAAGTGGGCGAGACTGCATGACAAAAGGGGTGACCAATGAGTAGATAGCCAACGGCAAAATGGTCCTTTCAAAAAGTGCTTTGCAAGAATTTTAAAACTTTGGAGCGCTTTGCAAGAAAAACCCAAAGTTATAGGCTTTTTTCATGAATTCGCCCAAAAAAATTATTATTCTTTGAATAGATATATATATATATATATATGAAGGTATTAATTAGCTTAGTTGGTAAAGATCTTGATAATTTGGTATAAGATTATAAGTTCAAATCCTATTTTTGTCAATTACTTTTTGTATAAAAAAAGTATATGATAAATTTGATAATTTCTTTTTATAGAACATAGCTATAATGATAAATTCTAAAACAATAGTTAGTTTTAAGAAAATTTTGTAGTGTCCTCATAAAAAGTCATTTTTTTCTAAAAAATGATTATGTTCATTGCCTGCGCCATACTAATAATGGCCTCTACCCTTGATCACCTCTGTGTGTAAGCCCCTCACTCTTCGGCCATCACTCTTGTCCACCCTTGATCGCCTTTCGCCCTTAGTCGTGTTCGCGTTGCACTATCACCCTCAGCTCTCCTCCCCTCTTCCTCTACTATTGTCGTTGTCCTTGTTTGCGCATCTCACCCTTGTTATCCTCGCTTGTGGCCCCCTCCACTAAGGTGATAATGAGAACAATAGAGATGTTAGGGGTGAGAACGATAGGTGATAAGGGTGGGAGCAATGGGGCAGAGGCGGAGATGAATTAAAGGCAAAGGTGGACAAAGACGAATCAGGGTAGTGGGCGAAGTGCGGGGTGCCTATGCACGGAGGCAACTAATGGCCCACATAGCAAGGTGAAGGTAACCAGGGGACCATATATAGATATCGTCAAGGGAGGAGGGAGAGGTGATGAGGGACCCGTGCATGAAAACACAAGTAGCTAAGGGTAGAGGTAATAGTTGATGGGATGAAGGAAAGAGATAAAATCATCCTAAAAAAGAGAGAGAGAGATGTTCTATTGAAATTTATTAAAATAAGGGCGATCTGTCATAATTTATTAAAATTAGATTTTTTTTTTGGAAAGTTTACACTAGTTTTAATGCTTCTTTCAATAATTATATGGATTTACATTGACAATAGGC